GGGTTTTATTGCAGTGAAGAGCTGGCATGGATGTTTTTCTCAACGTGCTGAGTTCACAACTTCCCTGCAATTTTGACATAATTGGCTCATAATTAGAACCAAGCTTGATCCCTCCCCCGCCTGGGATTTAGGAATTAAGAATCAATGAAAGGACCTCTGAACATAGGCAGAGTGCGCTCCCCATATCCATGAACATTTGCAGCTGGGATTTCCAGGTAGGCTTGAATTTGCATTAGAAATATAAGGCTTGGATGCATTTGCACTCATTCTCTGACAGATGCCTCAATATAACAGTTGCTCATGCAGTTGGCTGCTTAACCTGATGGAACCAGTCGACAGATCCAGGGGCGCAACTGAACCACAGAATTCTAGAATTGGAAAGGGACCACGAGGGTCATCTAGTCCAACCCCCTGCAATGCAGGGGTTGTTTTAACATTGCAGCATTTAATTTAACAGGAGAAGGCACTTCCAGACTCACTCTTCCGCAAATGGGGTCCAGCGCATAACAGCAAATTCTGGTTGCTCCAGTTTGTTTGGAAGCCTTTCGCATCAAACCCACTTCCCCTCCCAAACTGGACTTTTTGCAGTAAGGGAAGTGATGGGGATATGCATTGGGAAAGTGTGGGGTGAAAGCTGCTTGATGTTGGTGCCATGCAATCTTCCTGCAAACCGGATGAATGGTCATTAAATAGCTGGTGAACAAATGGTTTCATTGTGAGCAGACCTCTCGCAGAAAGAAAACCTTACAGAATTCCCTTCTGATTCTGCCTGCCAGCTGCTCTCTCCTATAGAGGTTCCTGTCCTGTCTTCACATTTGGTAGCAACACTGGGTCCATTTACCTGTAAGTAAGGCCCCTTTAACCCAATGGGGCTTACTTTTGGTAAGATATGTATCGTATTGTACTGTTTGTCCAGTATAAGAAAATAATTTTGCCCTTTGCACCCAAGTGGTAGTTCAAAAAACTAAAATCCTGTCTCTGGTCCTTGCTTTATTGAGATCTCCTAAACCTCTCCCCAGTCTCTTCACAGGTGGCCAAGCCAGGTTCAGTTTCAATTTCACTTTCTCTGGAAATCCATATACAAAAGAATACCAGATATTCCTTATTTTGAAGGAATGAAGTTTGTTTCAGAGAATTATGTACGCCCCTTATTTCAGAATGCTGCTGTTACCTTTGCACACTGCAACACAGAATTTGCAGTTCCAAATGGCACTTCTCTGGAGTGTTAGGAGCTAAAAATCCAACCTCATATTATTTGACTTGTATGTATAATAATCTGGCTGGGTTACCCCATCCACTCTGGGCAGCTCCCAACAGAATATTAAAAACACGATAAAACTTGGAACAAACAATAGCCTCATTTACTATTCCTTTCATCAGAGCCTGACGAAACAATGGGAAGGGAGGCATTTTAATAATTAGACATTGAGGTGTGAGGATGCCTGTATGTGCAATCTTTAGCACATTTGCCACACTTGTTCAGTTCAAATCAATGAGACATGCCTCTGTGAAAACATGTTCAGGATTGTCCTGTAAAAAGATTAAGCCCTACCCACAACCGTTGGCCAGAACAGAAAAGCTTACTAAATACACACACTGAAAAATGTTTTTTTGGGCTTCAGGGTTTAATAACTTGATACTGTAACATGAATTGATTACATACCCTTTATAAATTAAAAAGATCGGCACAATTCATGTAGCATGGTTTAAATTCTGATAAGAAGCAAATAATGAAAAAACTAGTCTTGAACTTTTGGTTGCAGAACATCAGCTAAATATTGCAGCACTGTATTCCTATTGTTTCTAAAGGGACATAATGGCTTGCTAATGTTGCAAAAACAAAACAGGCTTCTTCACAATTTTTCTTTTGGCATTTGCAAATACAATTGCTGAATCATTTAAAGATCATGATTGATGTACTAATATTTCTTTAATCCAGTGATAGTCATAATAGTTTTGCCAAGCACACCTGAGGATTGAGTTCTTTTTCAATTATGGCTTCCTACCTTTACTTCTCTCTTAGCTCTTTTTAAACCATGAACACTTTCTCTCTCTCTCTAGTGTGATGCCACAGTCCCCAGTGCTTCCACCAAGCTGTCCTGTGAGCCTAGGCTACATTACAGACCCTGAATCTCTGGAGGGGCAGTTACTCAGGCATGCTATTGAGGGCAAGGGCAAGAAAGCCAAGATACTGCTGAAGAGAGGTAAAGCCAATCTGTTTCAAACTCCGTGTAGGTACGGTAATTTCCCTCTGGTAAACAGTCCTGACAGAATATGAGGTCTGCTTGGGTTACAAAATGAGGGGAAGTCAGATATGCTTCTGTATGGGTATGCTACTTAGGGCATGGGACAAGACTTGGTTTTGCTATTTGAAATTGAAACAGTGCATTCTGGTACCATAGACTTGTAGAATAGTAGATGGACTACGAGGGTTGTCTAGTCCAATCTCCCGCAATGCAGGTAGTCTTTATCTCTTCAACAAAACCTCTTGCCGTTATTCACGAACAGTGTTTGTGTTTCCTTCTTCAGGTGTGGATGTGGACTGCCACAATGCATCCGGGCAGACAGGTTTGTATCTTGCTGCCCTACTGAGACACGTCCCGGTAGTCCGGCTATTTCTGCACTTCGGCGCCAACCCCAACCAGTGAGTGATAACAAAATTCTTAGAGACAGTGTCTGGAAAACTAGATATTCTTGAGAAGGCCTGTCTCCATTTGAGTCCGGTCCCTCTTAAAACATAAAATTTTCTGTCTTGTCTCAACATATATATCCCCTCAGGCTGAGGTATATGTTTGCTTATTCAGAAGAGATGGCAAAAGTTTCCTTCACAGTGCTTTTTTTGGGATGATGTTCACTGCCATGGAGTACTATCACCTCTTTTTCCCCGCAGCCATTAGCTAACATTTTGTGCTGACACCCATAGCAACGATTCCAATATATGATACCAGCTCCTCATATTTACCCCAAAGAGTGCTGGCTACCATTGGCTGGATAAACCTTAAGTTTCAGATTGGTAAACATTGAGGCCTCTTATGGGGAAAAGACCTTAAAACATTTTATTGTCAGGCTCTGAATCAATTCTTCTCTAGCTGCCAAGGGCTTGTCTTTCAAAGCATAAATCATGTTATTTGGTTAACAGGGAAAACAACTGAGTTACCCCCATCTGAGCAGAGATGTGTGCATTAACTCTATCAGCTAAAATGGCATTTCTGATTACAAAAACTGGCTGGCAGAACTTGTCCCCCGTCCTTTGCACCCTAACGCCTCTTTCTCCTTCTCACCCCAAAGCCGTTGTTATGATGGTAGCACCCCAGTCCATGCAGCTGCTATCTCAGGCCACCAGAAACTTCTGGGCCACATCCTGAAAGCTGGAGGTGACCTAAGATTCCACGATCAAAAGGGGCAGACCCCTAAAGACTGGGCCCAGCTAGCTGGGAGTGAGCAGAATGCTGAGGTATTTACAACTTCACATTGACATGTCTTAGCAGTCATGGAAATAAACCATCAAGGTTACGTGGGGGGGGGGGATTGCTTCCTTGTTGGAGGCTGGCAAAGCAGGGCTGGAGAGGGCTGCCCCTCCTCTGACAGCCCTCTTTAGTATCCATGCAAGGTTGAGAGGAAGGACCAAAATTTTGCTCCCCCTTTCCTCCAGCAGCCCACTCATTAGCCTTCATGCAGGGGGCTTTTGAAATTTATTGTAGAATGTTCTCCACGGTGAGGTTTGGCTGCTGCCTTCACTAACATCCTTTCAGTGCCAGGTGAAAACTTAACATTTTGACAAATGGGGATGATTTTGATGTCTTTTTTCGGTGGTGTGGTTCTACTGCTGTTTCGTTGGGTTTGCTTTATAGGCTATTGCGTGGCTTTTATTGTAACACATTGTGTTTTCCTCTGATTCTGTGGCACGCTTTATGCTTTTAAAGAGTTGCAAGTCACTTGGAGACTCTTTATGCGCCAAGCACCATAATAATAATGATAATAGACTCGAGGTCAGGGCACAACCCATGACAACACAAATTTGCATAATATTTGCACTTGCTCATTCATATAGAGAGGTGCCCTTGGGCAAATTAAGATTGTGGGTTTAAAACAAAAGGTTGAGGTAAGGGCATCCTGGTGTGAGAATCCCAGGGCGTGGATCCCCTGGGCTGCCCCATAACCCTGCTGCTGCTGCCAGTGTGCGGTTCCTTGTTGTCTGTGGCTACCAGGCAGCTGCATATAACCATAGAATCATAGAGTTGGAAGGGACCCCAAGTGTCAGGAATTGTGCTGAGGAGGGCTACAACCCTGAATCTTCCCCCCAACCCTGAATCTTCCCAGGAGCAGAAGGACAGTATAGACTTAGAACAGTGGTTTGCAGAGGGGCGTAGTGCAGAAGGCAGAAGCTGGGAAATACTGGATGGGGAACAGCTAGGAGAAGAAACACTGGAAGAGAGAGGGTTAACAGATTCACTCTCTCTGGAAAGCATCCATCCGTTCTCCCCAAGGTCAAGGGGAGCTGAGAAAGTGGCAGAACAGAAAGCACAGAGGGTACGAGCTCAGGTTACAAGATATAGTAGTGACGTAGATTAATAGAGACGAGACGGAAAGGGAGTAAGCCTTAGTTGGGAGCACCGCCATTCTAGGAGAGATGCGTTCTGTTGTCTCTCGCTGTGGTTATTAAAGATTCTAACTGGTAAGAAGCCTCATTTTCTTTTGTTCTATTTATCTACGGCAAAGGGGGGAGGAAGCTAATTCTCTGAAGCCTGACACTTAGTCCCCCCGCCGCCGCAATGCAGAAATCTCTACTTAAATCATGGCTGTTGTGGAGTGCTGTTCCGCTGTCTAGCTCCTCTCTTTTCCATTGCCTCAAGGTCCTGGATTTCATCCAGCGGTGCTTTGGCCAGATGTCTATGCTGGTGCAGCACGGGGACCTGTTGATGTATTCCAAAGCTCTAGCAGCATCGCCACGCAGCCTGCGCTCGTCGCTCTCCTCGCTCTTATCTGCCTCCCTCTGGTAAGGATCCACCTGCTGCCCGTCTTCTCTAACGCTGCAGGAGCCATAGCCTAGTCTCTGTTTGGACCCAGCCCTCCGCTGAGACAGACAACTGAATGGTGGTGGTGATAATGATGTTAAAACATCTTGGCATGAGCAGGTTAATGTGCAGTTTCGGGAATTACAGTAATTGTCCCCATTGAACATGTGGGGTTGGGATACAGACTTTGTCGAGTTCCATTCACACTGGAGGAAGGAGAAAGTGGTTAGGGAGGTGATTTTCACTGACTCCTTCTGCCTCAAGTGCCCCCTGAAAAGCTGCTCCAGCAAGTTTTTCCTGAACAGTGTGGGGTGGTGCTTAGAGCTGAAGGGGGAATCTGTAGAATTCTCCCCCTTCCTCTAAGGGGAATTTTCTTTCTGTGTATCCATCTATCTATTTAAATGCCTATATTCTGCAGTATCATAAAGAAATCAAAGCAGATATATAGATAATGATAATAATGATGATGATGATAATAATAATAATTTATTTGTACCCCGCCCATCTGGCTAGGTTTCCCTAGCCACTCCGGGCAGCTTCCAACAAAGATTAAAAATTCATTAAAATGTCACACATTAAAAACTTCCCTAAACAGCGCTGCCTTCTAGTTCTTTATTTCCTTGACATCTGATGGGAGGGTGTTTGACAGGGCAGGCGCCACTGCCGAGAAAGCCCTATGCCTGGTTCCCTTTTTGTTGTTGTTGCAAAACTTGGTGAAACAATATTTATAGTATTGCTTTCTTCTACTGAAACTGTGGGGATGGGTTTAAAGAGGTAGGAGAGGATATATTAATTGCAATCTATCCCTCCAGGCCCCCACATGTGTGGGTTGAACAGAGTTTGAAAATCCCACCCTGGGCAACAACAAAAATTAAAAGCATAGGAATTAGACCGTAAAGCCTTGTTTGAGCAAGTCCGGCGATGAAGTAGGCAGGATTCTGCCTGCTCACCCCACTTAACAGAGAATCGAGCAAGAAGTTGTAAAGCAAGTTGAAAAATAAGACTTATAAGCATGCAGTGGTTCACAGCGACAGTAGCAGTAGAACGTTTGCAGGCAAAATACGATCTTTTGTGCTTCGACTGCATTTCCGGGCCACTTATTCTCCCGTAGAAATCACTGGGGTTGCCTAACGCCAGTGCTCCCGATACCTAAATGTGTCTCACAAGGCTTTGTTTCCAACCCCTTCTGGTTGCAGGCATTTGGACGGCTCCAATAGGTTGGGAAGCAGCAAGGAGACAGCTATCGGATACAGGCAAGTAAGTAAACCTCTCTGGAAGGGTGTGGTTCAGTGTAGTAGAGAGGCCATAGTTTCTAGGCTCATAACTCCTCCCTTCTCTTTCAGCTGTGCCCAAGCAAGTGCCAGCAGCCCGGGGTTGCTGCCTTCACGTTCATTGCAGACGACAGCGAGCTGCTCCGAGGTCATGGAGAACCAGACTGGAGTTACCAGAACGGACCACACACACTCATGAAGAAGTAAAGCTATCAGCATTATCTATCAGCCCTGTCTGTTCTCACCTCCCATCTAGGATAAAAAATAAATAAATAGCAATAGCAACAATAGGTTCTCTTCTTGCAAGACCCAGTTCTAGGGAGATATCTGATTGCAGGGAAGCAGACTGATCACAGTGAAATGAATCAGGGAGGGACACAGCTCAGTAGTAGAGGATGTGTTTGGCAACAGAAGGCTCCATGTTCAGGTAGGGCTGGGCGGGAGTCCTGTCTGAAACCATGGAGAGCTGCTGCCAATCTGTGGTGCATGCTCTGGTTATCTCTCGCTTGGACTACTGCAATGCGCTCTACATGGGGCTACCTTTGAAGGTGACCCGGAAACTTCAACTAACCCAGAATGCAGCATCTAGACTGGTGATTGGGAGTGGCCACCAAGACCACATAACGCCAGTCTTGAAAGACCTACATTGGCTCCCAGTACGTTTCCAAGCACAATTCAAAGTGTTGGTGCTGACCTTTAAAGCTCTAAACGGCCTTGGTCCAATATACCTGAAGGAGCGTCTCCACCCCCATCGTTCTGCCCGGACACTGAGGTCCAGCTCTGAGGGCCTTCTGGCGGTTCCCTCACTGCGAGAAGCCAAGTTACAGGTAACCAGGCAGAGGGCCTTCTGCCCTCCCATCAGATCTCAAGGAAATAAACAACTACAGTAATACCTCCGCGAATGTGAGGTGAGTGGGGCTGAGAGACTTCAAAGAAGTGTAACTAGCCCAAGGTCACCCAGCAGCTGCATGTGGAGGAGCTGAGACGCGAACCTGGTTCCCCAGATTACGAGACTACCGCTCTTAACCACTACACCACACTGGCTCTCAGTGTGACGTACACACGAGTAATAAGTCAGTCTTTGGACTAATTGGCATTTTACGTGCCCCCTGCAAGCTTTCAAGTTACACAGAAGTTTAAAATAAGTCATGGAAGAACAGGATATAGCGCTTGGGGAAATTTGCAGCCAGAGTGGCATGTGTAGGTTAAGAAAGATGTTGGTTTGAACATGAGTGGTGGTGGAGATTTGGAGGAGCTGTAGTCTAAGTGAACCAAAGAAGCATGACACGTGTGTGAGTTATAACTCCTCATATTGCAGAAGAGAGTAGCCCCGGTTCTGACACCTTTTCCTCTTGCTTCCAGCTTGCTGTGGAATGGGCAGTTTGTCACGGTGCGAAGCTTAAAGCCGGAAGCCCATCCCCACTGCAGTAAAATGCGTGGCGCCCTGGACTTGCTCCTCGCTGAACAAAAATACTGCAGGTAATTCCAGCTGGTGGGCTTCGGGACTCAGATCATGGAGGGATAAGCCCTGTTGTTATGTGGGCGCTCACTGCCATTTGTTCAGCATGGCTTCCGTGTTTCCTTCAGCCAGCTCCACCACCCCCACCTTCTGCTCCTCTTGGCCGTGAGCCCATCTCTGGACCTGCAAAACCTCCAGCTCGTCTTTGAGAGGGTGGGCATGTGTTCCCTCTACTACGCCTTGCACTGTGAGGTAAGTGAGACGGTCGGGGAAGCTCGGCTCCTTTCCTCGCTTCCTAAGCTTATCCCTCTCCCTCTTCCCCCACTGCAGAAGTCTAGCTCCCCAGCTCCCTCGGCGACTCTGCGTTTGCTGCTGCAAGTCTCCGAAGCGCTCTTGTTCCTGCACTCTCGGGGTTATATTCACCGGGCTGTGACCTCCCATGCAGTTCAGCTGGTGAGACCTGGACTTGCCAAGCTCAGCAACCTCGAGCACATGCAGCAGAGGTTGGTTGGAGCAAGTGCGGTCTTTGGGAGACCCCAGTAGGATTCCTCGGGACATTTGACTGGTTTCAGTTCTGTTTCAGCAGGGCGGAGAAAAACAGGTTAGCCCAGCCTATTCCTCCAGCCCCTGCTCTCTACAACTGGCTGCCCTTGGAAGTCATCAGAGAGCGCCCGGCTTCCGTGAACTCTGACCTCTTCAGCTTCTGCACGGTGATCCAGGAGATCTTTACAGGTTGGTTTCTGGTCAGGGTGGGAAGCGGTAGACAAGACTGGCGTGTCTCAAGGAGCCCATCAGCTGATTATAAGTTCTCAGGGAAATCCCAGTTGCCAGAAAGGTTTGCCTTGGCCTATAAATGTATTAGCAGAAGAGAAGCAAGCAAGCACTTTAAAATGGCGCCACACTCGTACCTTGGTTTTCGAACAGCTGAGTTCTCAAATGTTTCGGCTCCCAAACGCCACAAACCCGGAAGTGAGTGCTCCAGTTTGCGAATTACTGTAATTCTGACAGGGCTTCCGATTGGCTGCAGGAGCTTCCTGCAGCCAATCAGAAGCCGTGCTTTGCTTTCTGAACGTTTTGGAAGTCAAACGGACTTCTGGAACAGATTCCGTTCGACTTCCGAGGTACGACTGTTAGAATTAACATTTTTAGGCTTCAGCGTCGAGCTCCAAGACCTGCATTATTTGAATATATTTTTTCCCCTTAAGAGTGCAAAGCTAATCTACAAGGATGGCTTGAGTGTAAGAAGAATAAGTTTACAGAGAATACCGTCTTTTAGAGGATCTGAGAGGTGATTTGGTAATAGACCGTTGGTGAGAAGGAGAATTGGGTAAGGGGCTCTTTTAACAGAGGGAGGTATCTAATACATAGCATAGGTTGACCGTATGTCATTACTTAAAATACTAATGCAAAGGTGCAGAAATGGGCTACCAGATGGTGAAAGAAGTGGAGTTCCTTCCACATGAGGAATGGCTGAAATGTCTGGTACTTTTTGGCTTAGAAAAAAGGCAGCTGGAGGGATATTGTTATGTACTGAGTTGAATAGGATCCAAAATGCAGCAGTATGATTGGTTGGCAGGAACTACCCAATCATGCTCCAGATAGAAGTGAATCCACAACCTGATTGGCTTACAGTAGAATTCCGGAATTAGCCAATCATGTGCAGCCCATTGTGTAAATAATGTATATAAAGCAGATACTTTGAGGGGACATTCATTCATTCCTCCTCACCACTATGAGCTGAATAAAGAGCATGAAATCACTTTGCGACTCTGAGTATATTTCACTGGCGACGAAGGTGGGATCCCGCTGAGCTGACGGCCACACACAGCACCGCAGCACCGCCACCTGCCGCACCGCTGCCTCGCACCGTGTATCCAGGCTTCAGCTCCGGGACACAAGGAACTCAGAATGGCAACTGACAGCAGCTTCTCGCCGTTCAACCCAGCATCCGGAGACTGGGAAGCGTACGCCTCCCGTTTCACCTTCCTCCTAGAAGCCAAAGGGGTCACCGATGAAGAAGACGCCAAGAAGAGGGCGATATTCTTCAGCGTCTGCGGAGAGGAGACGTTTGAAATCGCCCGGGCTCTCCTTGCACCTGAAGACGTCGCTACCGTTCCATACAAAACAATAATGGAACAGCTGAAGGGGCACTTTTCGCCGCAGCCCTCGGTGGTGGCTCGTCGAAATGCCTTCTACGCAAAGCGGCAAGCCCCTGGGGAAACCATAACTGGGTTTGTGACCTCTCTCCGCCAAGCCGCCCGGTTCTGCAACTTCTCAGAGCTGAAGAACATGCTTCGTGACCGCCTCGTCGGTGGCCTGAAGGATGAGAAGCTGCAACGACGCCTCTACGCTAAGAAGGACCTAACGTTCCAGGTCGCTCTGGAGGAGGCCCTGGCAACGGAAGCTGCCGAGAGGTCGACGCAAGAGGCACGGCCGAGCCTGCCGTCCCAACCGAGGGTCCACCACGAAGACCTCACCGACAACTCAGGATCCGACAGGGAGGAGGTGCACCGAGTACAGCAGTGCACTCAAGCAGCCCACATACCACACCTGCCTCGATGAGAAGGAGGGAACTGCGCAAGCTGTGGGGAAAGTCACGAGAGGAGGACCTGCCGTTTCCGCAACGCAGAGTGCAGGCAGTGCAGAAAATTGGGACACATCGCCCGGGTGTGTCGGGCTCGGCCCACCCGACACCAGGCATCAGATGACCAATCCAAGAGCCCCAGGTCCCGGGGCCCAACACACCAAGGCAACTCGACAGAGCTCACGGACTTCCAGGTATACCAGTTGCCCCACCCCAACGTAGAGAAAATTTATGTAGAGGTACAGATAGAGGGGGCCGCATGGAGCTTGACACAGGTTCAACTCTATCCATAATCTCGGCAAGGACCTTAAGGAAACTGTGTCCTACTGGGGGTCCCAAACTCAGGCCGGCCCCATTCACCCTCCGGGACTTCCAGAAACATAAGGTCCCCACAATGGGGGTGGGGACCTTCAGGGTGCAATACCGAGGGCGGACGCGGCAACTGGACTTGCTTGTGGTCAAGGGCCCCTACATTAGCTTACTGGGATTGGCATGGTTTGGACCACTGGGGCTAGCCGTCACCAGGGTGAACCACACTAGCTTACAAGTGGACGTGGACGCCATATGCAAGGAATTTCCAGGGGTTTTCGATGGGAAATTGGGACAGTATACGGGCCCCCCCATTGCTCTACAGCTTGACCCCGCAGTACGACCAGTCAGGCTCAAGGCCCGCCGGGTCCCGTTCGCCCTGAAACCCCGTATAGACGAGGAATTGGACCGGCTCGTGGAGCAAGGAGTGCTGGAACCGGTGCCTAATGCCCCCTGGGAAACCACAATCGTCACACCCGTCAAGCCTAATGGTTCGGTCCGCATCTGCGCAGACTACAAATGTACCATAAACAAGGCCCTCACGGCCCATGCATACCCAGTGCCAGTGGTCAGCCATGTTCTTGCCACCCTGGCTGGGTCGAAAATTTTTGGCAAGCTGGACTTGGCCCAAGCATATCAACAGCTACCAGTAGATGAGGCCACAGCAGAGGCACAGACGATTGTGACGCACAGAGGAGCGTTCAGGGTAAAGCGGCTGCAATTCGGTGTCAGTGTGGCACCAGGCATATTCCAGAATCTAATGGACTCGCTCCTTAAAGGGATTCCTGGCGTCACCCCCTTCTTCGATGATGTGTTGATTGCTGGGCCCACACCAGAGGAGTTTGAGGACCGCCTCCGCACCGTTCTGCACCGTTTCCAGACAGCGGGTCTCAAGGTGAAGCGGGAAAAATGTCTACTAGGAGTGCCTCAGGTGGACTTTCTGGGATTTATGGTGGACGCAGAAGGGGTCCACCCAACTGGGGACAAGGTACGGGCCATTTGTGATGCCCCAGCGCCCAAGAACAAGACTGAACTTCAGGCCTTCTTGGGACTATTGAACTTTTACCATTCCTTCCTTCCCCACAAGGCGGCGGTAGCGGAGCCCCTACACAGACTCCTGGACAAGCGGGCCCCTTGGGTGTGGGGCCAGCGCCAGGAGGCCGCATTCCAGGCAGTCAAGGACTTGCTTGTCTCAAACTCGGTCTTGGCACACTTCGACGAGAGGCTGCCGGTGGTGCTAGCATGCGACGCCTCGCCCTATGGAATTGGCGCTGTCCTGGGACACCAACTCCCGGATGGAAGAGAGGTACCAGTGGCATACTTTTCCCAGACACTCAACGCAACTGAGCGGAACTACTCGCAAATCGACAAGGAGGGTCTGGCAATCGTGAAGGGAGTAAAAAAATTCCATGATTTCTTGTACGGGCGGCCCTTCACTGTGGTGACTGACCACAAGCCGTTGCTTGGCTTGTTTGCCCCTGAAAAGCAGACCCCCCAAGTGCTGTCTCCTCGCGTCCTCAGGTGGTCAATTTTCCTTGCCAGCTACCAGTATGCACTGATTCACCGTCCGGGGAAGGCGATGGGCCATGCGGACGCCCTCAGCAGGCTACCACTACCGGAAACAGGCCCCGACCCAGCACCTGCACAAGAGGTTATGAGCCTGGAGCTGCTTCCCGACCGCCCCATTCAGGCACAAGAAGTTGCACACCATTCCAAGAAAGATAGGGTCATCTCCCGGGTCCTGGACTGGGTGTGGAGGGGATAGCCCAGCAGCAGCCCCGGGCCAGAATTCGCCGGCTACACAACCCGCAAACATGAACTGTCGGCCCACAAGGGGTGCCTGTTATGGGGAAGCAGGGTCGTTGTTCCCCAGCCCCTCCGCAAAAGGGTCCTCACAGCCCTACACGAGACACACCCAGGGGTAGTAAGAATGAAGGCCCTTGCCAGGAGTTATGTGTGGTGGCCGGGGATCGATGGAGAGATAGAGGCCTGGGTCAAACACTGCCAGGCCTGCCAAGAATCCCGCCCAGATCCCCCAAGGGCCCCAGTCCAGTCCTGGGAGTCCGCCCGAGCACCATGGTCACGCCTGCATGTGGATTTCGCTGGCCCCTTTCAGGGGAAAACATTCTTCATAGTGGTGGACTCCTACACCAAATGGCTGGAAGTCGCACTGGTACCGTCCACTTCCACGTCCGCAGCCATCCGGGTACTACGCAGGCTGTTTGCAACCCATGGGCTCCCTGACACTCTTGTCTCAGACAATGGGACTGCATTTACGTCAGGAGAATTCCAAACCTTCACAGCGCAGAACGCCATCCGCCACATCCGTTCGGCGCCGTTCCACCCTGCCACCAATGGCCAAGCAGAACGCATGGTGCGGACCACCAAGGACACCCTTCACCGCATGACGCAAGGGGATTGGGAGTACCGCCTTGCCACATTCCTTCTAGCACAGCACAGCACCCCCAGCTCAACGACTGGCCGGAGCCCCGCTGAACTACTAATGGGTCGGCGCCTTGCAATCAGATTGGACCGCCTTCACCCCGATAGAGCTCAGGATGAGGTAGTGGTGGGGGAAGGCAAGAACCCCCGGACCTTCGAGGCTCAGGACCCAGTGTACGCAAAAAATTTTGGGGCAGGCCCAGCATGGGTACCCGCCACAGTCACCAGGGTCACTGGCCCCGTGTCGTACGAGGTGCTAACAGATGGAGGGCAATGCTGGCGCCGCCACTGCGACCAGATACGGCGACGATTCCCGGGAGAAAACCAGGAGGAAGAAAGGGCAGAGGAGTCCCAAGGGAACAGAGGGGCAGTGAGGCCCACAGAGCACGAGGGGCCAGCAGGAGAGGCAGAATCAGTAAATACAGAGAGGACCTGCGAGGCCGAAAGGACACCGGAACCAGAACCACGACTGAGCGAGCCAGTTGCGCCAGACCAAACAGCCCCATCACAGCCAGCATCCTTGGAACATGAGCCAGAACCTGAACCCCGGACCAGGGAACACCCCAGGCCGCAACGCACACATAGGCCGCCGGCGTACCTTGAGGACTATGAATGCGACCTCCCGGGCAGGACTGGAACTTAGAGGGGAGGGGTGTTATGTACTGAGTTGAATAGGATCCAAAATGCAGCAGTATGATTGGTTGGCAGGAACTACCCAATCATGCTCCAGATAGAAGTGAATCCACAACCTGATTGGCTTACAGTAGAATTCCGGAATTAGCCAATCATGTGCAGCCCATTGTGTAAATAATGTATATAAAGCAGATACCTTGAAGGGACTTCCATTCATTCCTCCTCACCACCATGAGCTGAATAAAGAGCATGAAATCACTTTGCGACTCTGAGTATATTTCAGATATGATAGAGGTTTATAAAATGAGGCATGGTGTGGGCAGTGGGGCTAGATTGCTCATTTTCTCATAAAGCTAGAAGTGGGGGATATCCAGAGAAATTGGTTGAAGGAAGGAAGGAATTTATATACCACCCTATACCCGGAGGTCTCAGGGCAAGTTCACAGAACAAAATCAAAATATAAAACCACAAAATATTTAGTCAAAATAAAAACAACAACCCAATAACACCCCCCACCCAAAAAAACCCCCACATTTTAAAAGGACATTTTAAGTTGATTAACAGTAGGTTCAGCAGAGACAAAAGGAAGTATAAACAGCGTACAGTTAACTTTTGGAATTTGATGCCGCACAATGTGAACTCGGAGGGCTTCAAAATGGGATTGGATGGAATTGTGTGGGCTTTAATTGTGGAAGTTAAGCAGGTCCTCTTGGGTTCTGAGTTGATGTTCCTCTGGATCCCAGTTCCTGAGGAGGAAGCTGGGGCTCCTTTGTCCTCTCAGCTGACTCAGCTCACCTAGTTTGCCTCACTTGGAAACTAAATGCTGGGCTGGAAACACCCTTGTTCTGATCCAGAAGGGCTCTCACTTAGGTTCTTACTTCCTTCTCCCCATGAAGGAACCTCCCTGCAGCTCTGAGGCAACTGTTTTGGTTACAGATTTGTTATGATTGCTGTGTGCTGAGGGGATTAAGTTGTTGTTCACTTCCCTCAGCCAACGCAACACAGTCACCCCAATCCAAAATCCAGTCGTGCCTGCGCCCTGACCTCTGGGAAAGAGGGAAGTATGGAAGCATAGACTAATAGTATCATAGAGCCGTTTGGGACCCTTAGGATAATCTAGTCCAGCTCCCGCAAAGCAGGAATATGTAGCTGTCCCACATGAGGATTGAACCTGCGACCTTGGTGTTATCAGCACCGTGCAAGGTAAAGGGTGGCACTGATCTAAACCACTGAGCCTCTTGGGCTTGCCGATCGGGGTGACCACAATGGGATGAGCTCCCGTTGCTTGGTCTCTGCTCTTGGCAACCTAGCAGTTCAAAAGCACGCCAGTGCAAATAGATAAATAGGTACCATTGCAGCGGGAAGGTAAACGGCGTTTCCATGCGCTCTGGTTTCCGTCACAGTGTCCTGTTGCACCAGAAGCGGTTTAGTCGTGCTGGTCACATGACCCGGAAAGCTGTGTTTGGACAAACACCGGCTTCCTCGGCCTGAAAGCGAGATGAGCACCACAACCCCATAGTCACCTTTGACTGGACTTAACCGTCCTGGGGTCCTTTACCTTTATATACATCAGCACCATGCAGTAACCTTACCTATGGCAGGAGCTAGTTTGGAGAAGAAGTGTGTGTGGGGGGTGCCATTTCAAACATCCCTGCCCAATATTTTTCTTGGCAGACCTTTTTTTTGTGTGTGTGTGTAAAATAAATAAATAAATGAGGTACTCACAGCTTGATAAAAATATATATACTGCGGGCACCAGCACAGAACGGTTGAAATGGGGTGCCAAAAATGAGGCAAGTGCCATCACAAAAAAGCGCTGACTCTTCTAGACTTATAGTGGGTCTGCCTAACTTTGTGTTTTATGACCCTACAAGTCAAGCAACCTGTATTTTTCAGGGGAAGTTCCTTGGGGTGGTTTGGATGGCCTCGCTGTGAAGGAGAAGATGGAGGCAGGGCAGTCTCTCCCGGCTGATGCCCGTGTGCCCCAGCCTCTCTATGAGGTGGTCAAAGGCGGCACAGCCTTGAAGGAACGCGATCGGAAGGGTACTTTCCCCGACTTACGCTATGTTTTGCGGGCAGCCCAGCAGGTGAGGAGTTAATGGGTGTTTCTTTAGTTTGCCTCCGTGTTGTTGTTGTTGTTTAAATTATAATAACCAGATTTATTTATTTTCTCAGTTTGGAAAGAGATTGACAAGTGTGAGACGGACAAATTTGTTTTAAATGGTTTTTTTATTGTCGTTTTTGAGGCTCTAACCCGCCCTGGGGCATTAGGGTGAAGGGCAGGCAACAAATAAACCATTATTAACAATAAATAAATAAATAAATAAATAAATAAATCAACCAACAATAAATTAATTAACAATTAAAACCCGTCAACAAAATGAGATGGAGATGAATGGCAGGTGAAAGCTCACTTTCATTTAACCTCCCTGCAAACAAATTATTATTATTGTTTATTGATTTTATATGCCATCCTATACCCCGGGGGTCTCAGGGCGGTTCACAGAATAAAATAAAGATATAAAACCACAAAATACATAATAAAAAATAAAAGCGACAACCCTATAGCTCCCCCCCCCAAAAAAACCCCCACATATTTTAAAAAGGGCATAAGATATAAATCAGATCAACCCAAGGCCTGTTTAAAAAGGAATGTTTTTGCCTGGTGCCTAAAGGGGAGGGCATTCCACAGATGGGGAGCCACTGCAGAGAAGGCCCCGTTCTCGTGTTGCCACCCTCCGGACCTCTCAAGGAGGAGGCACACAAAGGAGGGCCTCAGATGATGATCTCAGGGTCCGGGTAGGTTCCTATGGAAAGAGGCGGTCCTTGAGGTATTGCTCAATAGCTGCTTAATAAAGACCATATGTAAGCTTTGTGCAGGTAACTTGGGGTGGGTGCTGGATAAGCCAGTCTTCTGAGTCATTACTGTCATCTCTATCTTACCTGAAGGAAAACATGAGACAAGCATAAGTTGAGCTCAGGTTGCACCTGGCTTCCTGATTATGCAGCGCCTCAAGCTTTTCTCTAGGAATAAGCAAGCTGCCTCCGTAGCCCTTTTTGTAATTATCGTGATCAGAGAAGCATACAGTGTGTCATTTTTCTCTTCCTAGGATGCCTCAGGGGGCATCCCTCTCGTTTCATCAGCAGCATCGACTCCCAAGAAGCTCTGTCTGTGGGCAGGGCAGGCTGAGTCAGACGAATCATCCCTTCCAATAATTCCTGAAGGTCAGTTTGATCCCAAATGGTAGGAACCAGCCAGGGTGCGCAATGGGGCATTGCTTCATGGGTTCAGGAAAAAGGACATGGGGAGGAGGAAGTCAATGTAGCACTGAATCAAAGTCCTTTAGTGGCGTCCTAGTTGCACTAGTGGAATGGATGTATGCAAGAGAAGGTTCTGGAAGCCAGCATGGTTCTTGTGGATGGGTGTGCAACAGGTTGCTGTGGCCATGATCTTGTTCTTGATCTTGTTGTACGAGCTTCCACTAGTGCAACCATTGCGCTGGATTTCGTATTGTGCTACCGCTATTCTTGCCCTTATGCTGTGTGGTCAGAGAACAGTGAACCTAGGCCCAAAATCCTGAGGACAAGTGACCAGAATGGATTTGAAAATTCAGGTTCTCTCTTGGTTAGTGCTTTTCCCCCCTTAAAAAACGTTTAGAGGTACTCTCATTTTGACTCAAGGAAATCACCATTTCATAGTTCAAAACGGGGGAAATAAATACAGTAACTGGACAAAAGTACAAAGAACATGCATTACCTCATATTACACTGCTGACAGCTCACGGTAACTTCCATGTTGGCATGAGGTTGTGTGTGTAACATCTTCCCGACTTTCATCAGTAAAACACCACACATCCACTTTCCATACTGCTTCACACATTAAACGCTCGCTTTCGTCTGAGACACAGGAAACACTGTGACAGGAAAGGAGGCTGCCATTGGAGGTGGTAACAACGAAACTGACCAATCACCGCTCTAGATTCCAACTCCTACTTCACACATTAAACGCTCGATTCCATCTGACACACAGGAAACATTGTGACAGGAAATGAGGCCGCCATCGGGGGTAGCAACGGAACTGACTATTCATAGAGAATAAGCTATTTTTTTTAATAAACAAAACAGTTTCTTCTCCTGTTAGATTCACAAAATGTTTAAGGGTACACTTACCCCCATCCCCCCAGAAAAAAGCACTGCTCTTGGCTACGAATCTGATCCTTTGTTAGGCAGGACGTTCTCTCTCATAGATATGCGTGAGGTGGGAATTGCAAATTTTGTAGACTTAAGAAGCATGTTGGTAATAATGACTAATAATAATAACTGAATAGAGACGAAAGGGAGAGAAATGGAGGATTGGGAAGGAGCTAAAAATGCTCATAGTTCTATATGCTCTCATCTTTGTCTATATTCTTGTCCTCTAGAGCCGCCATACTTTGAGGTGGAGACTCTCAGCCGGAGTGCAGAACAAAGCACTCCCAATGCCCAGCCTGAAAGTGAGACAACCAGACATGCACAGGTAACAGATGACCAAGGCAGAATAATGGTGCTGCATTTGGAGGGTACAGATTCTTGAAGCTTCAGGAACTCCTTTCTTCTTCTGTGGAGGACCATATTCTGGCACAAGCTGCTCCCACCATGTGATTCCCTAGGATGGGCTGTCATAGCATAGGCTAAGAGGGACCCTGACCCAAAGGCAGAGCTAGCTGCTCCAGCACCCAGAGTGGTCCGAGGGGCAGGGCTAGCCGCCCGTGGGGGTGCGCCAGCATAGCATCCCAGGGGGTGTGACAGGGAGCACCCTAGGGGGGTGCGGCGGCAGCGGGGGGCGTCCTGGGGGGGGTGCCAGTGGTGGGGAGAGTCCCAGGGGGCCGCCCACAGCAATGTCCCCCCCCCTCAGGGATGACACCATGGGCAGGCCGCACCCACCTTTCTCTGCCTCTGTTCTGACCTCTAACTCCACCGTTAGTTTGCGTTCATAGTGTATAAATCTGATAGGGTCACCATATTTCAAAAAGTGGAAATCTGGACACAAAAGTTGTTGGGCTTCCCCCCCCACTTTTTTGCCGATTTTCAGAAATTCCGCCCAGTCACTATTTCCACGTGTATGGCAGCTCCAATTTTGACAAAACAGGAGTGGAAATTGCCAGTGCAGGAGTCAATCCAATGAATATGGTCAGCATTCACTCTTGCCAAAAGAAGTGTAATTGATTGCATAAATTTGCATTGGCTTCCCTTTGCCCTGAAATGAACGGGGCGGAATACAGTGGTACCCCGCAAGACGAACGCCTCGCAAGACGGAAAACCCGCTAAACGAAAGGTTTTTCCGTTTTGGAGACGCTTCGCAAAACGAATTTCCCTATGGGCTTCCTTCGCAAGACGAAAGCCCATAGGGAAATCTCCGGGACAGGGCGTCTTGCCCACTGTCCTCGGACCTCCTCCCGCCGCCAGGCTTCGGAAGGCTGCTCTGAAGCCTGGCAGGGGGCGGAGAGGTTTTTAAAAACCCCGGGACAGCGGAGGACTTCTCCGCTGTCCGGGGCGATTTTAAAATGCTGCCGGGCGGCAGCGCTGCCGCCCAGCAGCATTTAAAAAAACCCCGGGACAGCGGGGGACTTCTCCTTTGTCCCGAGGTTTTTTAAAATGCTGGCGGGCAGCAGCGAAGGCTTCGCTGCCGCCCGCCAGCATTTTAAATTTGCCCCGGACAGCGGAGAAGTCCCCCGCTGTCCCGAGGTTTTTTAAAATGCTGGCGTCTTCCCCTTTCTCCCCGGACCTCTTTTGAAGCAAGGGGCGGCAACGCGGAGAAGCGATCTTCTCCCCGTTGCCGCCCCTTGCTTCAAAAGAGGGGACAGAGGGAAAGGCGCGCGCCTTCCTCTCTCTCCCCCCGGACCCCTTTGAAGTAAGGGGCGGCAAAGGGA